TACATATTTTTTTGTTATTTAATAATTTATTACTTGTTTTTTAAATTAATTTTTTTGTTTCCTGTTGCCAAACAACTAATGGGTACTTGAATGTGAGACAATCATTCACAATTTCCATAAATATTTTTTATCTGATTGCATTCATTAAATAATGACAAATCAGTTTTCAAATGAAAACATTAAGAATCTTTAGTTTTCTCCCTCTCCCTGAAGAAAATTAGTTATTTCAATGCTCTGTTTATGTACTGATCTTGATGGATTACTGTAATATAACCTCATTTGGGTTCAGTAGTAAGTTAGGGGATGGGATTTGTTTAGAACTAATGTAAACTTGTGATATGGTTTGAAACAAATGATATCAAATGACTATTCTTTTATTACCATGTTCTGATCTTAAATTTAACTCTGATAGCTTAAAATTGCAAGATATGTTAAAATGTTATGTTTGAATAAAACAGTATTATGTGCATTTGAATAATTTGTGCTTATTGACCTATTTGTGTACAGGCACAATGAAGTGACGTTTTTTTCAACACTGGNGTATGTGCAGTGTCCATGCTGAAATGAGGTATGGTTTACAAAGAATTTATGTGAGTTTTTTGGTTTTTATTTGTGTCCTGTTAAATATTTTTATATATATTTAGTTAGCTGAAGAGGGGCTGATGCCCGAAACGTTGATGTATGGAAAAAACGTTCTAACTAAATAAAAGATTCAACTAGCCCAGTGTTGAAAAAAACGTCACTTCATTGTGCCTGTACACAATAAGCAAATACAACACGGTTTCGACAACATCAATATTGACCTATTGTTTTAGCCTTTTAGCATGCACTATTCACAGATTTTAAATTTTTCCTACAGGACAAGATTTTTTGTTTATTACATCTGAGGTTTGTTTAATGGGGATCTGTTAAATAAAATGTTTACTGCAGTGTTTCTCAACGGGGGCGATATCACCCCCATGTGGGTGTTTCTCCATGTTCAGGGGGCGATTAGCAACAATTTATATTTTTGGGGGCGAAAAACAATTTTCTGGGCGATAAAGTAAAACATTATATTAAGAATAATTAGATATTTTATTCGTTATATCATAAAATAATTAAACAAATAACATTATACTAGTCACTAGTCTATTCAATGCAGTACGAATTTGGCGTTAGCCTTGTCCCTCGGCATCGGAATTTTGTAGTGAAGGGGGCGATACTACGTAACGGTTTTATTGAAGGGGGCGATACTACGTCGAAGGGGGCGACGATTCATTAGAGGTTGAGAAACACTGGTTTACTGTAATAAGTGTAAATAGGAAATAAACCACATTATTTTTACACAAACTACATAAGTATGTGTAAAAGAATTTTCATAAATTTTAATCTTAATCTTTGCTCTTGATTTTCAGACATCTATATTATAATTTAAAATAGCATTTAAAATATCAAATATTTTTTAGGAATTAAATTTTATGTGAAATGATCATTTCTCACCTAATAAACTGCTACTTGTTGGTTCATAATACTAAATATTAGTGTACTGGAAAACATATTGGGAAAGTTTGTGAAAATTGGAAAAATCTGGAAATTTAAAACTTGAATAAAACAAATGCTGTCCCATCCTTTAACCTGTTTGGAAATTTGTTGTCTCATACTGGTTATGACAAAATGTTTGACAACCTCCTGTATAATTCCATCAATTAAAGTGCAACTGATTGCTGGAAAAGAAATGTTAGTTTTCTTTTCTTTTTTAATAATTCTTCTCTAGATGGAACTCAATGCTTGTGAGTTTCTTTCATTTGGCCAGATAATTTTTACTGCACACTACTGTAATACTCTTGGAACATTATCATGCAATAAAAACCAAGTGCTTGGGTCTTTTGATAGATGAGATTATCCTTCTTCCTGACATGTCACAAACTCTGTGCTCAAGAAGTTTAAATGAGAAGTGCATAGCTATCTGTAATGTAGCCTTGATTTGTTGCCATACTTTCACATATTTTTGAATACCTTTATGACAGGATCAAAGAGAATGTTTCACATCAGGAGGAGGTATGCAGTACCCATCAAACACCATCACAACCAGTATCCTATGAGGCCAAATTTTTCAACCTGGTTAAAAAGTGGGTTAAATGTCATAATAGATACAATATGTTTAACTTGAATATCTATACAATGTATCAGACCTTCATCCATTTTAATTATTCTCCCTAAAATAATAATTTTTCTACTGATTTGCTTAGCACTCCATTTTCAGCAATACAGTGTGTTAACCATGGTCTGAATGTACTCATGATCCAAAAATCTTACATTATAAGGTACTGTAAGTGTGGAATAATTGGTTTAATATTTTTACCTGTCAATTAAATATCATTACCAAAAGTAATTCCTTAAAATGTCTACAGAATTATAGCAAACATGATCCTATCTCAATTTATTTTGTCATTTAACATCATTTTTTTTAAGAATTAAATTTTTTTCTTTTTTAATACATGAAAAATGCTTGTGAAGAGCTTGTTTTGAGTTCTGGATTTTCTTCATGTTTATTTTACTGAATGTATTATTTGTATTGCTTTCTATATATATGTAACATGCTATGGAACTGCAGAGCTGAGTAGGCATGGCCTACCCATTTTCTCCCCTGTAAAAATCAAAAGTGTAAAATATAAATAAAAAATGTGTTACGTATATTTATCATAAGCAAGTTACATATTTATTTAGGTTTCTGTGGGAAAAAATATAGGGGTTGTTTCATGTTAATGAATTTTATTACTTTTAAGCCAGCCATGGCTCATCAAAGTTTCTTCGAAACCCCTCTATATTAAAGTATGAAAGTATAATAGTCAGTCCTTGACTTTCAGACAACTTTTTTTATATATAATACTCCTAAATTACTTTTTATATGCCACAGCTGCACTTTTTTACACTTTCAACTAGGGTTTCTCATTTCCTGGTCTTTTGCTTGTCCCGGGGGATTCCAGGAAAAAGTGAACTGTTTTCCATAAAATCCTGAGATATGATTAATTATTTTTAAGATGTGATATAAGATCTTAAAATTGAAATGAGATAATTATTTTTCATTTTTAAGTAACTTTACATCCTGCAACCTTTAAAATAATATTTATAATGCTGTGTAAAATATGTATAAAAAATTGCTTTTGAATTATGTAGAAATTTTCACAAATAGAAAAAATTTATTAGTTTGTTTGAAACAGCTTACAAAAAAGAACATGCCTTTGAATTAAGTCGAATTAAAGAAAAATGAACTTAGGTCAAACTTCTAACTTAGAAGATAATTTTTGTTTTTTAAATAAAACATTATAAAAATTTACAATAATATTTTAAAAAGCAAAGATGGTCAATATTCCAATCCCTTAATCTGGTTCTTATCTTAGTAATGAAAAGTCCTGCTACCAAGAATGCCCTTTCCGATTCAATTAATGTGGGTGGAATTGTCTTTAATACATTTAAGAGAAGACTGATGTTATATGTATATGTTCTTTCATCCATAGCCTGGAAGATTTCAAGTTTGTTTTGAGATGCATTACAGTACTTCTTTTGCCGTCTAGTATTCTTGATTTGTCTACCTCGGCTACTTTAATAGCTGCATCAAGCTTACAGCCCGATAATTCGGCAGTTTGTTTGGCTTTAATAATCAGGTTTATGCAAGTATGAAGAAAACTTTATACTTGCATACTTTGTACTTATATCCTTGCCCAATTTGCACAACCTGGCATAATGCAGTTATTGAAGCTACTGGGCATGGTTAAAATTTAAGACAGCATAAGCACAATTATTCCAGATATTACAGGTTTTGACAAGTAAAGAATTTTCAGAGTCCTGTAACAAATAGGCTACATATTGATCATTGACAATTTGTGACATGCCATAATAAGCAAACATTTAAAAAACTAATAAGCAGGCTTAAAATTAAAAAATACAAATGTATTCTGAAAGTTCATGAGTTAATTATGCACCTCCCAATGAACACCTCAAATGGTTAGAGACTATACACATCTTTACATCTTCCATCACAACTGCGTGCATAAATTTGAAAGAGGAGAGGATCTTGTCATTGGCCTGTCAAGAGTTGTTTCACAGCACACTCTAGCCACTCGTGGTATCTGGGCAGGCCGACTCGTTGCGCATGTGCAATGTAGTTTTTTGTAAATCGTTTTGAACTTACGATCTAACGTTATTTAAACGGCATTAGTTAATCAAATATCCTTCCAGGAACAATTAAGAACCTGATGCAGAGCCCAGAAGGGTTTGGAAACTTTTTTTTATATTTTTGTTATTGCACCATAAATTGGTTCCGTGTACGCAGTTTTTTAATTATACTTTCTATTTTCAAAATTTCCTCAACCTTAACACAAAACAAGAAAGAAGTGAACTTTTAAGAAATTTGCAGGATTTTCCAGGATGAGAATAATTTCCTGGGTTTCCTGGGATCCCATTGGAGAAACCCTACTTTCAACTGACATACAAAAATTTCAATCTATTCTGCAGTAACACTTTCTGTGGAGCCATAGCATTTGTCCCATTGGCAATGCATTGCTGAGGGTGCAAGGCATGATGCCTTGCAAACACTTGTGCACCATGGACTATGAAACTATTGCATTGCCAAAGGTGCCATAAACATTGCTTTGGCTCTGTCTACATATTGTTTTGGTTGTGGTTTAGGTAACATCAGAATCATTTGTGAAAATTTTAATCATTAAAACTATAGATTACTATTTCATGTAGGTTTTTTAATATATTTTTTTATAAAAAAGAAACTTTCCTGTATTGGAGATTTTCTCTCTCCAGGAAAGGAAATCCCTTTTAACATAAACGTCATTGCTAAATTTTGACATTAAATTAAACTTTAATACATATTTTTAGGAAAGAATTGATTGAATACTAGCTTTGTAAGATTAGAGATTTCCAAGATCTCTAAATAATTGGCTGGAAGTCAGTGACCACCTGTACTATTTTCTAAATTATTCTAATGTAAATTTTTTTTCATTTTGTAGAACTGCACATCTTGTGTCCAAGTATAGACCACGTTGTCCAATTATTGCCGTCTCTCGGTTTGCTCGTACAACTAGACAGGCTCATTTGTGGAGAGGTATTTTGCCACTACATTTTATGGGTAAGCAGCGTTCCAGTTTTTCTAAAGTAGCAGTAAAGTTACTTATCAGTAAGAGTGAATTAGAATGGTTACATTGCATTTACCACATTTATAAAAATTTTAATAACAAGAATGAAGTTTATTGAAATTATCCTACTAAATATTCCTAGCATGAAATACCTTTATAGTATTTTAGATCCTAATTTTTTTTCAGATAGAAGATTAAAACCAGGTAGGCTGAAATGATGCAAATTTTTTCTAATTTTTTTTGCATGATATTGGTAAGTTGGGACTAAAATTTTTAATTTCATGTTGAATCTACTTGTGGAAATTTAATTTATACTATACTCAGGAAAAAAAAATGTTCTGTGTTTTGCCTTAACACTAAAGCAATATGTTAATGCTTGAAATAATTCTTGATTTTCACCTTTTATCTGTAATGGCTTATTAAAATTTGCAACTTGATTTTTTGTGTGATGCAATTTAAATTTTCATTCTATTTTCACTCTGTGCTGCAAATGTTGCTTTATTTAAATACAGGGTGTTTGAAAGGTCTGGAATCATAGACCCTTACTACCAAATTTCCTATTAATTGAATATAACATTTCATACAATTTTGTGTGAAAATAGTGAGACTAAAACTTGCCTCTCAGATCTCATTTCAAACTTGTGGACAAAAAAATCCAAAGTATGGTTTGCAAGCTTAACACTCTGTCTGGCCTTATGAATGCCCATGCAGACTGGGTTTTTTGGCTGTTTTTAAAAAAATCATGAACCAATAAGTCCCAATATAATAGATATAATAGTATGATGGAGCTTAAATTAGATGTTTTTTGTTTTGATATCAGCACTATGCACTATTTACCTGGGATCATCATTTGTTAAATGTAAAGCTTCATCAACTGATAACTAACTGCACACAGCCTCATTTTACAAGACATCAAAATGGTAAACAGTGTGTGCCACTTAGTGGTAGAAATGATTGTTTTTCATTAAACATACATCCTACATTAATTAATCCTAGATGAGTCTAAAGTGTTCAGCTCTGTAGAATAATGTATAAAATTGTGCTGGAGTCGCTCATCCTTCATCTTTTACTGGAAAATTCTCTTGATGGGAGAACAAAATGTTAATTGGTTGTATTTCTGAACTTTTTTGTGTTAAATTTGCTACTTTTGTTCAGACCAGCCTTCCTTCACCATAGAGAATAAAAAAGCCAATTTTTTTCTTCAAATTTTGAAGCTATGGGTTCAATCTTAATCTGAAATTAAAAGTTTTTCTTTTTAGGATTCCAGACTTTGTATACCCAGTATTTAAAATGCTTAATAGTCAATGATTAATTATCACATTTCAATGAATTAAGTTTATTTAAGGTTGTTTTTTGAATTGAAACTACATTTATATAACACAGAGCTTATGTACTGTGATATTTCCATATTGTATTAGTATAATCTCTTCTAGTAAATTTTTATTAAATTTAAATGAGTTAGATATAATAAAATGTTAATGTTTTGCTTTGTGATGTCTGTTATTGATTAATATGCTAAAAAAGTTTGCTAAATTAAGATCTTAATTAATCAAATGTTTCTATAGGCGATCGTCTACCAGACTGGCCACAAGATGTAGATGTTCGTATTCAATACGCCATCAATTACGGAAAAACAAGCCAATTCCTCCGAGCAGGTGATGCTGTGATAGTTGTTACCGGATGGAGAAAGGGTGCTGGTGCAACAAACACAATGCGTGTCGTTTATGTGGAATAAATTCTTCAGCATTCTTCCAGCTTTTTCACCATTCCTTATTTGCTTTCCTAGAAATTTTAGAGCAAAAGTAATCAGTTTAAATTATTTTATTGCCTTAAATTATTCCAGAGTATAATGTTCATTCTGACTGCACTAAATAATTTGTGCTACACAGTTAAATCTATTTTCCTGTAAATATAATATGGAAAGTTGTTTTAATTCTAAGTTTATAGCCGTTGAAATATGATGTTAATGTTGTTAAAAAATGATTATTTTTGTGAAAAAAGAAAAATATTTAAAATGTATTTGGAGCATTTAGTAATGCAGAGGGAAATGTCTATCATCATATTCTATATTAGAATTAAATAATCCTACAATATGTAATTTGTGACTGTAAACAGAATTTAATAAATTATGGCAAAAAAACAAAATAATTAGTATCAAAATAGTAGTTTTTAAGATTTATTTTTCCTTGCATTAACAAAATCATTTGTACTTTCAATCTTGATTTTATAATATATTTTATTGGAATGTTTGTTCCATACACTTTAATTAAACCCTAGTGCCAATGTTGGATATAAAATTTTGCTGTTCTAAGGTGGTAAAACTTCTTAACTGGAATAAATGTAAAAAACATAATGAATGATTTATCCTTTATATGATGGATGCATAGATAACTGAAACATTAGAAAATTAAACATTTTTGCTGGAACTTTTTATTTTTGTTCTAAGGTAATAACTTCCTTGAACACTGCAATTGTTTTCAATTCTTAGAGGGAGGCATTTTTAAAATACCAAGCTCCAGCCTGCTTCAGGAGTGCCTGCATATTAGGACACTTGGAGCATGTGACAGCCTTTTTCATTTGAGTTTTTTTCTAATCTCAATGGGGACCCCAAATTCCATTATCAACAAACAGAAAACTGACTTCTACAATATTATATTCTGCAAATATAAACGAATGAAATTTGTCCATTGCCCCTTGCAACTATTTTCATATAGTTTGTTGTAAGTTGACCAAAACCACATTTTTTTCAAGTCCAAGTTAGCCCAGACTACTTTTATGGGAGCACCAATCCTATGTTGAATCATAGTTTGAAGTTTCTTGCATAATGTAAGATACTCATTTTTGTATCTTGCAGGCACCACTGGCCTACTGCCTTTTGGAAAATCCAGCCCTGTTCACTACTTTCCAAACTGCGTGTGTGTAATAAAGCAATTACTTGATTTATAAAGCAGTGTTTTAGTTTGAATTCTGATAAGTCGTAATCATTGGGTAAAATTCAAAAGGAGTTACAGTTGGAAATACTTCTCTGTATTGAAATATAATTTTTCTGCAATTAAAAATACATAGTGATTTCTCCCTGGCATGCAGTGATTGACCTATATATATATATACACTGAGTAGGGCATGTGTGAAACTGAATTTCCACTCTCTCAGCTCATCTATTGGAGAGGGCTTTGTAAATCTCACCCCTAATAAAAATAGGGCAACATTGTCACAAAGGTTTTGTACCTGAAAAAACACATACCACTACTTTTCAGTGCATTCAGAAATATCAAGTGGGATCCAGGAACAAGCTGTTAAATGACATGAAAATGCTTCACTACACAACAAGGCAAGGGGTAGCAGTATATCACTGCATAACACAAATGCAATGTGATTCAGTCCAAACACGTTTCACTGTATCCATGATTGAGTTAATCGCTGCAACATTTGGCCTTGTGAGATCTTATTGAAATATCTTGGAACAGCAATGAGATAGAGAGAAGGCAGCATGTGCTGTAGCATCACAATATTATGACTTTTCCACTAATGCGTTACAGGTCATTATTTTTCCCATGACAGCAAGCCCTAAAATCCTCAAACTTGCAAATACAATGGAAATTTTGCACTGATGTTTGATATAAATTGAAGATTGTTACGTTGCTGGATAACTCGTCTGCTATTATTCCCGTAAAGTATGTGAAAGGAAGAGTCGCCAGATCAAACAAGTTCCTAGTCTGCTGCTATCCAGTTAATGATAACCCAATGCCCAATGATAACTGCACGTGAAAAGAAATAATGTTAACATAATCTTTAGTTTACTTTTGTATGACCAAAAATCCCTTCCGTGCAGTGTTTATAACTATCGCGAAACAGGTTCAGTGCGTTCCTACCATTACTGCCTCCATCACTGTTCCAGATTAGTGGTTTAGTACTGCTGGTTAGCAAATTTCCCATTTCCTGATACTGTTTCAGGAAGGAACGCATTGTCGACTCACTTGTGTACAAGTAACGACCAATTTGCAAAATAACAATAGCATTTGACACTTCTATTTTTTGTCTTAACAGTCAGATTTCGGCGTGTTATATTTCTGTTTTACGCTTGCAGATTTCATAGCAAGAGCTTCATTTGCTTATTAGACGCTTAGCTTCCAATATGCAATTTTTTTCATTCGATAATAGCGAGGTTGAGGCCGAAGTTTTAAACGCGAAAACGTGTACGTCGGACGTTCAGCGCTGCTTTCTGTAAGCCTAGAAGTTTGACAATGGTGTTTGGAATGTCGAGCATGATTCCACCGACTATCCAAACACCATTATTAAACTTCTAGACTTACAGGAAAGCGGCGCTGAACGTCCGACATACACGTTTTCGCGTTTAAAACTTCGGCCTCAACCTCGTTAATATTTTGCGTCAGTGCACGAAATATATTGTTCACGGGAGATGCGGATGATAAGCGTAAAGTTATTTCTTCCCTTAATTTGCATATAACAAAGTATTGACATTTTTATTGAATTTGTTTATTAATTTTGTGGTATTTTTCTCTAAGATTCCCTGCCACAAAGTCTGCGCTGTGTGAAATTTTATGGTCACGGGGAGGTATCTAACAATACAGAATCAAAATACGAGGATGACTACAAGATTGAGGTGATGGTTCACCCGTAACAGTGTATAAAATCCCAAACTCACTAGTTGATCGTGAGTTTGTATCTTATCAACGGGTTGACCGCGGGGAATTTTCCGGATATTCTTCATGTTTGACACCTAAATAACAGGTAGTTTTAAATAGAAAGTCCTCTCAGGAGGAATCTCCTTGGCGAATCGCTTGTGTGTTGCTTTGCCGTTATCCATCAAATCCAATTATATATTAGGAGAAAAATGAAAATCTGGAAAATGTTAAATTATTGGAAAGTAAGAAACTGTTTTCATAGAATGCAACACATTATTTATAATTACATAAACAAATCTATTCAAAGTTACGCACGCAAATAGAATTGTCCAATTTCTGCAATACTCAAAATACAGCTTCGTCTGAGACATAAACGTTAAGTAATTATCCAATTGCAGGCGAGGTAATGCCACCAAATCGCCTTAAAATCGGCACTCAAGTCTCCTATGAAAAGATTTACAGAGACTGTTCAGAATTTTCAGGTTTACCTATTTTGAGGGCTTCGAAAGCCAGGCATACCTGTATGGCACAGTCATCACACACAACTGACAAAGTTTGAGAAAGACCGCGTTATTGGACAGTGGTATGAAGGATGACAATTTCGCTAAACTGTATACTATCTGAGTTATTCTGACTTAACTTTGAGGGGATTTGCGAGGGCGCGCACACATGACGGTCAGACTTTGCACGCCGTAAACAGACACTAGGGGAAGATCATGAAACAAGCAGAAACAGCTCTAACGAAATCTTTGTTCATCATCCAGAAGCGTGAAAGCCTCGCTAAAGAATCCTCTCTTCCTATATCATTGACAAGTGAGCAGCAAATTCGAATGCCTGGCAACCGCTACGAAGCTTGCCATTAGCACCCGAAAGTACCATTGCCGGTTTTGTTTTCATTGGTGCTATAACAGAAAAACATATGCTGCCGGTCCGCAGCAATTCATCATTAGTGATGAATTCCAGTTCTGTTTGAGAACGGACGGTCACCGTGTTAATGTAAAGAACTTATGGTGAGTATTTTAATCTCGTCTTTACTGAGCGGCACTCTGTTCTGTGTAGATCTGGGGGACCATTTCGTATGGCAGTTACTGCAGTAGGGGTGCGAGAGACATTGACGGCCAACTGCTCCTTCTAGAAATCCTGCCCTCGTGTTACCCTTTCATGCAAGATGAAAACAGCTATTTTCCAATAAGATAATGTTCATTCCCCACACTTAGAATTTCACAGGAAAATCTCCATCACCTTTCTTTATTGGTCTGTCCGATCTTCAGATTTATTACTCATCGAGCATTTGTGGGACCAGATGGGACACCAGCTTCGACCATCTACCATTGAGATATCTGGAGCGGTATTTGCAACATTTGTGGGGCAAGAAAGCTTACGATTTTTATGGCTCCAGACCCGATTGTATCGCTAAATGTAAGTTACCAGGCAAGAAGAGCCTAAAAAGAACTAAAGCTTTATGTAAATTGTATAGTTGTTCAACAGGAAATTGTCGCATTATTATATTGTAATTACAGAACTTATTATCGTCATTACGTCCACATTGAAAGTTTCGTTCGATTCCAACACTCCCTCCTTGATGCGTGACTTTTTTTTAAATTGCAAATACCACACTCAGATGCCAACACAAAATACAACACAGATGAGACATCATATTGTTTTAATTAATAGAGAATGTATGCTAGTCAGAAAGCGGGGATTTATTGTATTGTTATACATATTTAATCACACTTTACAATTTTCTTTTTAATACTACGAGTTATGTACAGGTTAAGAAAGAAAACAAAATCTATATTTACAAGAAATATTTGTTCTTAGAATAGAAAATTAAACAAAAATTTGAGATTTTGTCATATTTTTATTTGGACTGGTAATTAAATGGCCGAGGCCCGAAGACACTAGTTTACTAATCTGGGGAATCCGGGTTCGAATTCGGCTCGAACTAGAAATATTCATGGATGGATTGGTCCTGATATTCCAGAATATTTTCATCATCTAATGTGAGCCTAATCGTATCATAACGGATTAATGGTAGTGGAAGAAGGCCTACTTGGCGCCTTCTTCCACGCGTATTAATCAACGCAGGGTGGAGTAAGTTGATGTTATAAAATAGTTTAGGGATATTTTTAAAGTAAACACATAAAGTAGCCCCAATATAACACATATAAATCAAATATATGATGATTATACAATGCATGTAATATACAGTATATGGTAACATCTCAGCAATTCATTTAAAACCCATACCAAATGAACTATTATTTTTAACGTAAAATATTTTTTAACGTAAAATATATCAGCATTAATCTGTCATTCCAGAAATTTCTAACAGGAAAAAAAATGATATTTATTAATAATAAACCTTCCATTTTATTTATATTATAAAATTTTATAATTATATTTTATCATAAAAAACCGATAAAATATCGATATTATTAATAATATAGAA